ATATATATATATATATATATATATATATATATATATATATAAAAATTGGGACTTAAGGATTGGTCTAAGTGTGGAAGGTTGATTCGCCGCGTACGATAATCAAAGAAATTTTGATATGTGCGTTTAACATGCTGGACATATTATCCTCCCACTATTATATTAATATTAAAAAGTAGTATTAATATCTAATAGCACTAAGACATCCGTGCTTGCTCCTTATATGCCATTTTCAAATCTTACTGTTATTCAAAGGAGTTTTCTACAATTTCGGCTTATCTCTAATAAGATTAATTTGTCCACAGTTTTTAAAATTTTTATTATCTTAGTTCGGATCTTATAATTTCAGTATATCAAGATTTTAATAAAAGTTTAAATTGTTTAAGAACTCTGGACAAATTAATCTTATTGCCTTATTTTATTAGAATTATACGATTTCACTCCTCATAAAATGTGAACAACAAAAATAATAATAAATTATTTTCCATGATTACTTTTTATGTCAAAAATTGCAAAAATCCTTATTTCTTAAGTGTAAAATTATTAAATTTAATAATTCTAACAATAATAATTATTAATGTTTTTAGGAATCAGCTGTGTAGCAAAAATCAATATTAACTGTGAAATCGATAACAAATGATAAAACGATGTGTGTGCTGTGTAACTACGGGCTTGAGCGCGCGAATTCTACGCGATATTACTAGTAATATTTGATCGGTTATAATTCAAAAACTATTATAGCCTTGACATTTTTGCTATTTTTATAATGATTTTTTACTTTACTTTACCTTCAGAATATGCTATTAAAATATCTTACGGTGATTGTAAGACACCCTGTATATATGACGCTGGTAGTGAACTTGTTAATGACATAAATCGAAACGATCCGTAACAGCTAAGTGGAGCACTCTCTCCTTCCTGATAATATCGCATGCTACTGGTCTGGGTTTAATAATCACGCCGGCTCTAGAAGCAGTTACGGGAGAACGAGTTCTGCCATTGAAATCGTATATCCCTTATTCCATTACGAGATTACTTCCATACGCGGCGACGTATCTGCAGCAAGCTGCGGCGATTTTTTACGCAATAATGCTCAACGTTTCCTTCGATTCCCTTGTTTATGGCTTGACTATACACGCGTGCGGACAAATCGAGTTGATCTGTCGTCGACTAACGGACGATCTTGTAACTTCGGAGAAGAGATCGAATACGTCGATTGAAGAGTGCGTCAAGCATCATGTACTCGTGTATGCTTTTGTGAAAGGAGTAGAGACATTGTTCATTTGGACGGTGACGATCCTCTTCTTCTTCAGTCTGATCATTTTCTGCACCAGCATTTTCCTCATAACGAAGGTTGAGAAAAAGAAAAATTTGTACGGAATTTGTATTTTATCATATCTCTTAGAGCGTGTTTCTTACACGTAATTTATCTAATTTTCACTTTTGACTAAGCACATAATAAATATTTATTACTTTACATAAAAGAGGTTCACAGTTCTATTGCGTTCTATTGTTTTCGACATCGTTTGCTTTTCAATTCTGCTTGTTTTCTTTTGCAGACAAAACTCTTTAGCGCCGAGTTTTTTTCTCTGCTATTATACTTTAGCGGCATAATGTTACAAATATTTTTTTACTGTTGGTATGGGAATGAGCTTGAATTAAAGGTAAAACACGATTAATATAACACTTCAATTATTTATATTCAAAATTGTTATCAAGAGTCAGTTTTTTTGTGAAAAGAAAATTGACAAGATTATATTGATAATAAAAAATAATATTAATGTGCAGTTGCTGTTTGTAGAGCAGAAGAATCGCGAACGCTATTTATTTTAGCGATTGGACAATGGCGACGCCACGAGAACGCAGATCTTTGGTACTTATTATGATAAACAGCCAGAAAGGATTCGTATTTTCTTATCACGGACTATTCACACTGTGTTTGGACACTTTTACTTGGGTAAGTTGGAAGCAACTAAATATATAAATAAACATATATATATTTATATTTACCGCAAAGAGTTCATATGTGTAAAACAATTGCTAGCTTATTAACAGTTTAATATTGCTAAAATCAATGAGAAACAGATCTCGATCAGATTCTCGATCTTATTGTTATCGTTGCTACTCAAGAAGCGCCAATGTTTTTAATGCGCATTCACTTTGCATTGACTTTGAACTGTATTGGCATTAATTGTATGTTTAAAATGCACTAAAATTAATGCGATATTTATGCATTTCGTAATAACAAGTTTTATAAAATAAATGAATAATTTTTTACGTGATACATCGTCAAACCACAAATTATTGCTTGCTTATAAAAGACCTGTTCTTTTTCATAAAACTTCCTAAACTGATGTATAGTGATACAAAATGTTTAAGTTTTTTCCTTTTTAATGAAATGGCTGTACTAGTTTAAAAAATTTATGCATATTGAAGCATAAGAATGGGTGCTTCTTATTGAAAAATTCCAGTTGAAAACCCAACTGGGATTCCTATTGGATATTTCGCTTAGGTTTCCTAAGTGAGATTCTCAAATAAGTTTTCCAGATGAAATTCCTCATGTTAATGAAATGTCGATGTGACAGAATGCCATATCTGTAGTTGATTCAATGTTTGTCATTTATTTAATAAAAAATAATGTTAGAAGAACAACTCATACAGCACAGACGCTTGCAGCAACAATACTGCAACGTTTCAATATTGTACATAGCAATGCAATATTGCAGAAACATTGCAGAAACATAAATTCGCAAGATACCAGCAAACAAGACACACGAAAAATATTTTTTGGATACGCTGCCATAATGTGCATTAAACGCAATTTTAATGCGGGACAAAATGCGCTGTAAATGTACATTTACAATGCGCTTTTAATATTAATTAAAATGCACATTTAAAGCGCATTGGCGCTTCTTGAATACTCTGAATATTCAGACAAATATTAAAAAAAAAAAAAAGACTGTGTGCGAAGATATACAAATATTGTAATGACGTAACTGCAATTTCATTTCCTTAGATCTTTAAGACGTCTTACTCGGCTTTTAACCTCCTGCAACATGCGTCGAATTAATTATTTGCGTCGTATAACAAAAAGAAAACATGATATTGATTTTGTACGTAGTTATATATGCATATATGTATTGATGTATTATTTTGCAGATGTGTTAAGTACCGATAATAAGGCTTTTTAAAGAGAAGCACTTGAATGTTCACGTCTGTAAACTAATGTATCGATATTTTATATACACAGCACTCTTGTACATAAGCCTGTGTATAGTTATATTGGGATCATTACAAAAATACAACAGTTGAATAACAATCGACACGAATGTAATTAAATGTCATCCGTTATGCGTTGTAGCGATGCTGAATTCAGTTTTATTTCAACAGATCTGTAAGGCCTTTCACTCAACTTCCCGCGGCAGATCGCAAATTAATCAGCCGTATATTATGTAACGCAGTATCCTCGCGAATAATCTACATTTACAATAACAGGTTTTCCCGTCGAGCATAATCTACTGGCCATGTGCGAAAAAAAACTTCGCAGTAACGCTTCGTTAATGATAAAGTAGTCGAGATTTATATTTCAACGGTTCTAATAGTTCTATGGATGTAATACTCACTGTCTACGTTCGCACATACTCGTGACGTAAACGCAAACATGAACTTGTAAGAATGAAAAAGATGTAATGCGTTAACAGTTTTATTTGATAACAATATTTTTTCTAAATTCGTCACAAAGAGGCAACAATGCGATACGATTAAATATTCCTGAACGACCGTATCTGGCGCAACTAGAAATATATTATGAAACTTTTGGTCAATTATATATATCAGGTATAATTATTAGATCATGTATATGGCACGGTGATCGGAATATTTTTATATTATCTAATAAACACCAACTATTCATAACATTATATTAATGTTATTTTTACAGTATAAAATTTTTACAGTATAAAATGCGTTATGCAGTGACTTGAAAAATTTGTAGCTTATGCTCGTTTCTACTAGCTTTAACTTAACCGGTTGCTTATTTCAACGGAATTGATCAAACGCATTTCTCGTTAGTCGGAACTGACAGATGTGATTGGTTGATTCCGTTGTAATAGCCAGCCGATTAAGTTAATTAAAATTGACAGAAACGGGCATTAGATTTGGGACAATAAACTTGGAAGTTCGTCAAACTATCAAAATTAAGAGTCAATACTGACGTAATAACATAATTAATAATTAAATAATATAATTAAGGGATTTATTAAGGGACTAATAAAATTAAGTTAATTGAGAAATTATAATATTGATGTAATGTTACTGTTAATTGGTATTTAAGGGATATCGATTATTCTTACTGATAATAAGAGTGAGAAGGTAAAAATACTTTATGTAGTTCGTGATCTTAATCTTAATCGGCTTGATTATCTTTTAATTGGACAGTTCAGCCAACTTCGTCACGAAGGTGTCCCATTTGATGTTCCATCGCGTAATCGCGTCCTGTTTTTGTGAGCTGTTCATGCTGCTGTAAGTCAGCGAGTTCAACGCTAATTTCTTGAGACTTCTGAGATCCGAGTTCGCGCTCATGATACCCATGAAGGCCTCGTAAAAGTCGTAGCTCAGTCCTTTCGCGCCCCAGTGCGCGGGGTCGTCGTTGGAGACTACCACGGGTGATCCCGACGCGAACAGGCTGGCAGCCGGGTGATTCCTCATGTCGTCCACGAGACTGAGAACCTGATTCGAGATGGGACACACCTCTATGGCGATATCCATCTGTTTTACCAAGTCCCGCAAGAGCGGATGCTTTGTTAACGCGTATCTAAAAAGGTACAATTGTTGACACTTGCGAAGTCTGTTTCTGTATTGAATTGACTGTTAAATAATATAAGTCAAAGAATATTTCATGTATGAATCATATAGTTCAAAGAATATTTCATGTATGAATATTTTTTCTAAATTCGTCACAAAGAGGCAACAACGCGATACGATTAAATATTTCTGAACGACCGTATCTGGCGCAACTAGAAATATATTATGAAACTTTTGGTCAATTATATATATCAGGTATAATTATTAGATCATGTATATGGCACGGTGATCGGAATATTTTTATATTATCTAATAAACACCAACTATTCATAACATTATATTAATGTTATTTTTACAGTATAAAATTTTTACAGTATAAAATGCTTTATATAGTTTTCCTCTTTGAATTTTTAAGCAGACAATTAAGTAAGCTGAGATCCAGTTGAATAATTTTATAGATAATCGAGAACATCGTAAATCGATTTTTAAAAATTCAGAATTATGCTACTAACCCGTGACCGATGCGTTTAGTGTTGAGTAAGAAAGCGTCGAGGATATTCATGTCGGTGGATAATCCATTCCAGTCAGTCTCCCCGGCGTGAAAGAAGAACTGAATCTGTGGATCGACAGCGTTCAGTTTGTCCGCGAACGTAGTGAGGGGCTGTCCTTTGTCCTCCTGGCCAACCAAGTCGAAACCAGCCACGAAGTCCGGATAATCTCTCCTCAGCTGCGCCATTATTTCCAGATAATTATCTATTTGTCCGGCGTCGACGGCTCGCAACGGAGCATATATGAGCTTAACACCGACGAAGTCGGGATGGTCCCTCGTGAATCTGTGTTGCATCCGTTTATTACATATACGTATTATATGAACGTATACACAGAATTTTTTTAACGCGATTGGCGTAAATTATGTGATGTAACACTGGGGAGTCCGTAATTATAGTTCCCAGTTAAAAATGACAAAAGAGCGGGCATATCATGGGATATTTATCTACATATGATAAAAGAAAAACAAACATTACATAATAATTATCTATAAAAACAATCTATTTCGAGTAATTTTTACTTTTACAAGAGAGACAGGATAACATTATTAAATATGAATTATCCGATTAAATGGAACGTTATGTTGATTTGAACGTTACGAATGGTACGTTAAATCATAAAAAAAGTAAAATAACAAGAAATTTAAATGTCTTAAATGCCTTACCTTTCAGCGACGTCCTTATGGACCTTCACGACCTCCAGTGGTCCGTACGTCTTACCATCGAGATCGTACAACGAGGGTAACGTCGTTCGCAATTCCACATACATGACGTTGTCGTCGTAGAAATCCTGTAGGGCTTGGTAGAACTGGTCCTCGTAGACGGGTCTGTAGGTGAGCATCGGCCCGACGAAGTTAAAAATGGTCATGAACTTCTTCCACGCCTTGTCGACGGTATCGTAGGCACTGCGAGGATTTTGCGTGATCATCGTCATCTCCTTCGCGATCTTCTTGTTGATAGCGTCGGCCTGCATCGGGTCTTGGCGCACGTCGCTCAGCAATCGCCAGTCGCACTCATTATCAGGGACGTCGAAAAACTTGGCGCGCAGGGTAGAGTTAATGTTGCAAATGTACAGGTTGTCGCGATAAGTGATATTGTAGAGTTTATACTCGTGGGAGACGATAGCGGTGTCATGGCAATGGAGGATGGCGCCTTTGGGTAGCTCGCGTAGGATCTTGAAGACTTCGGACTTCTCGATTTCCGGTATCACCTCCATGAAATTGCGCGCCGGCAGGAAACTGTCGCCGGTGCGAAAACCTACGGGAAAACGCGCAGTGCATGAAAGATCCGGTGACTGAAAAATTTCGTAGATAAATATTATTCCCTATTCCGGGGAGTCGTCCGATAATTCTTACCGTAGCATTCGATAAGGCTGTTTATCGCAACGATGTGGTTTTGAGTTTCTACATAAGGTTATTGACAGCAGTTTTAATATGTCAATTATTACCCGACGTGAGCAAGCTCAAGAACCGAAATACCACAGGCTTTACTTCGAGAGATGTGCTCTGCAGTACAAATGCTTTGAATAATCGAATTAGCATCATAGCGACAGAACTCACGCAATTAAAGCGACATTTTTAAGAATTTTGGAAGCTATTTTATACCATAGCTATTTTATATCATACTCGTGAATCGATTTTCCAGGGTGTTTTATAATGGGTGGCACGACCATAAAGATTATAGAATCAAATCTCTTTAGAAGGAAGTTCTTTATCTCTTACAGAAAAGATGAATTATTATTCTAATAATATAGCTATATACTTTTTTAAAGTGAATCGGAAAAAAATATTTCTGAATGAATCAATAACAGTAATATTTCACCAGTAATTAATGATTACATTACAAATCTAAATGTGTTATTTTTAAACATATAATTTAGCTAAGTTTTTTGTACATGTTTCTTTGGTTTTTAAATCACGTTGTTTAACATATTTAAAACGTATAAATTATAATTTAAATGACGTATGAATTATATTTTTAAATGACGTTTTAAAACAGTAAGAAACATGAAAAGATCAGTCAAAATAGTATACTTTGATTTGCAACAAATTTACTGATTTCCAGTGAAGACGCACTAATGTAAACACGTTTACTAATGTAAATAGTAAACACACTAATCAATAACAGTTACAATCAGTAACAATCAGTAATATTAACTGATCCTTTCAGCGAGATTTTACCGATTACAATGCAGTATTTATAACCAAATTTAGAGAGAGTATATTTTCTATTAATTTATTTACGTAGGATTATCACTTTTTTGATTACATCATTTGTTACAAAACACCTTGCGTAGAAGGAAATGGCAAAGAGGAGACGCACAGACCGGTCAATCGGCAATTTAAAAATACAATCTTCCTCTCGAACATTTCTTTCACCGCACATGTCATCTTTAAAATTCTCACTCAATTAAAATAGTCATGGACCTTAACGATGCACGATTTACATAATTATAAGAATTTACGACTTGTCAGTAGCCGACCGGGTCGCATGTTCACGCGCGATTATGAAGGAAAATATCGAACCGTTCAAGATCTCCCGATTTTTAGCCGCCATCAGGACTTGATTAGCTTTGACTTCGACGGGTCCGAGCTCCAAATCACCGCCCAGTGCTAATCTCTTCTCGTCCATTAGCAATTGTTCTCTTAATTGCCAGTAGTTTGGTTGTTTGATCAGCGCGTGGATGGCGTCGCCGCTCATCAGAATCGCCAAGATAAGCAACAGCAATCTGGCCATCTTCGTAGTTTCGAACGCGACCTGTCGAGGTCGTCTAATCGTCTGATACATTAGAAGGTCGTGCTTGATCCTGCCGAGATATAAGCGGGTTCTGCGTGACGCACAGGTCTGATGCGAGCGTCACGGCCGCTCGAACTTCACTGAATGACTCGTTTCCACTGGGGACGATCGTATGGACGAGCGACGCGTGAAGCATGCTTGCAACCGGTAGCTCGATGATAACGGACGCTCACCTCCCATCCTCGAGCAGCATATACTTATCGATCCTTCCATAAATTAACTTTGATAGAAATTCAGGTACATGCTGTATAAATGCACGATCGATTCTTGCCGTGTGGGTCACCGTTCAATTTTATTCGAGTTTCTATTTGTTCACAATCCCCTCTTTCCTAATTCTTTATTAATGAAATTATAAACTGTGGGGACCGTTTTTTTGGAGCGATCCATCGGCTAACTAAATTCATAGAAACGAAATTTTCATCGACGAAGATATGGAGGCAATAATGAAAATGAGTGCATCCCAAATTAATTGTATTGAAAATGAGGGGTAATCATATCAGAAAGTGTATGAGAGGATGCATGTATGAGGAGATTTTATATTTAATAATGAAATTTTGTAATGTGTGTGCTTTAGTAGTTTAATAATGGAAATATATATTACATAAGTTATTACTGCATTGTGAAAATGATTGAAGATTGTTTTAGAATATTGAAAAAATTATACAATATGATATTTCAAAAAGTGTCTCGTATTTTCTTATCGGAGTTATTATTTTTAATAGACCTAGATAGCACAGATAATTCAAAAATAATTCAGTCGTATGTCACTAATTCTTCAGAGTTCAGTTCAGTGAAAAGAATTCTTTTCGCATCTAAAAATGAATTCAGAATTGATGATATACGACTGAATTCTTTTTCTCTATGCTATCTGGGGAGCTTTTGAGAAAACAGCTTGAATATATTATCTGTTTTTACATGTTCACTTAAATTATTAACAGAAATCGTATATGTGCAATCAAAATAGTTTCTAGATAAATATATTGCAGAGAGACAGAAAGAGAGAGAGAGAGAGAAAGAGAGAGATCAATAGAATTATTATTCACTTAATTATTATTTTCTTATCAGTTATTCTAATTAAACTTGTTTGTACATACAGACTGTGATTGCAGATAAGACTTACAGGTAAATCACTGCGATTATCTACCCAGATAGGCAAACTTGCGTAAATAGATTTTGAACCTACTATAAATTTTTGATAGCAGAAAGGCAACAAATTCAACACAGGATTTGTTATACCTGATTATGTTGTCAAATTGCGGCCAGAAATGTGACAGAGCCTACTGATAGGAAATCTGAGCAGATTGATGGCAGAAATTGAGTAGAACCTGTAATGATCTGACGGCAGCAGAAACCGAACAGATCGTGCTGCGTGACAGAATCTTCGCGGTTTCTGCTGCCAATCTACTCGCATGGTTAAAACATGAGCTGAATGCAGACACAGATGACTATGGTTTGGTATGGAATTCTAATCAAATTTGCTGCCAATCTGCGCACTTTGCTAAATATGTGAGCGTAGATATACATATTGGGAGTATAAATTAGTTCGGTCCGTTTTTGTGATCAAAAATGCATTTATTTCAGAACAAAATGAATGAACAGATTAATCAAAGTATTGTCCATCGCTGGCTACTACTTTTTCCCACTTCTCAGGCAATTTTCGAATTCCATCTCGAAAAAATTTCTCGTCTTTTAAGGCGATCCAAGTTAGGAGCCAATTTTCGATTTCTGCGAAAGAAGTGAACCGGTGACCTGCCAAATCGTGTTGCATCCGTCAGAACAACCAGTAATCAGAAAGAGCAATGTCCGGCGAATACGACGGATGCGGTAAAATATCCCATTTGAGCGTTTACAAATAATTTTTTACGACTTTTGCGACATGAGGCCGAGCGTTATCATGCAGAAGAATAACTTTGTCATGTCTTTGCTCGTATTCCGGCCGTTTTTCTCGTAATGCACGGCTCAAACGAATCAATTGTTGCGTAACTCCCAATGATTCTGCAAGCTTCTCTTGCGTTTGACTCGGATCTTCATCGAGTAATGCTTCCAATTCTTTGTCTTCGAATTTTTTTGGCTGTCCAGAGCGAGGCTTGTCTTCAACGCTGAAATCACCATTCTTGAAACGTCGAAACCATTCCCTATATGATTTATCAGTTGGAGCATTGTCACCATAAACTTCTACAAGCATTCGATGCGCTTCAGCTGCACTTTTCTTCCAATTAAAGCTGAAAACAAAAACCTCCCGCAAATGCTGCTTAGTTAACACAAAATTTGACATATTCAACATAGTAAAAAAATAGGGGTTTTGTATGAAACTCAAAACGATATAAACTGAATATTATTGACAGATGTCTAACCTCTCTGAAACTACCGAAATCAGCTGTCACTATGAAACATTCATAACAGCCAGAACCATCTTTTGAAAACGGACCGAACTAATTTGTACTCCCAATATATGTCACAGATAAGATAAAGATGCTGGATATAACAAGGTGAGATAAAATAAGATAATCATACAAGAGTAGATAAATACAGTATGAAAGGATAAGAACAATCTCCTACTGGAGATAATAAACTTAAATCTAATCTGTAAAATTGAATTAACTTTCATTTATCAGAATAAATACAAGTATTTCGTATTATGTTTTGTGTCGTATATGTTTTGTTCAATTTAAGATCAAGTGATATCTATTAGATATATTTTATTATTATTGTTATCTTTATTTAATGAACAATCCATAAAGAATAAATTTTATACTACAAAATACATATTTTAATATTACAAAAAATAGAATGGAATGAATAAAAAAATAAGAAAAAAAGCGTCAAAGAAGATAATGAAAAGAACAAAAAAAAACAAAAAAAGCAAAATTTTTGCTTGCTATTTTCAAATAAAAAAACATTTGTATAAAAAGACACTTCAAGCCACTTGAGTACCCTTACGGAAAAAAACTATTAAGCGTGCAATACTTAGTATTGGTTAATACTAAATTGGCCAATTTTTTTTGGGCAATACTTAGTATTGATGAATACTAAGTATTCATGAATACTGAAAAATAGTATTGAGCGCGCAATACTTAGTATTGCTTAATACTAAATTGGCCAACACTTTTTTGGGCAATACTTAGTATTGATGAATACTAAGTATTCAATAATATTCGTATCATAAGGTAGTATTGATCAATATTTACTATTGCAATGTACTATATACAATAAAAAAAAATGTACAAAATGTTAATTTACAAAATGTTATTTTAAATGCCACTGTGAATATATTTGTTTAAATTAAGCAATTATCATGTAAAATTAAAGAAATAAGTTTAATTTTAGATATATAATTACTTAATTGAAACTAATATGTTCACAGAATATGTTCACAAGAAAACAATATGTTGCATTTAAACTAACATTTGTTTAAATTTAATTATATTTTATTCAACGTATATATAGTATATAGGGTGTTTGGTAACTTATAAAGCCATAGCCAATGGAGGCGTAAAACTGATTAAGTTAAAGAAAAAAGTCAAATATCATTTTACAAAAATCGTAAAAATGACCGAGTTATTCATAGAAAATATGAGACGAATTAGCATACAGCTACAGCGGTATTTCTTTCCTCTCGCCGCGCGCTGGCAGCTACTTTCCACTGTTGTCATAGAAATAAAAGCCGGCGCGCGGCGAGAGAAAAGAAATACCGCTCTAGCGGCATTAGTTCTACGCTTCCACTGACTTTATGAGTTACTAAACACCCTGTACACTGCAACAGTAAGTATTTAGCAATACCTAATACAAATTTTACATTCAACCATTTATATACATACAAATAAAAAATAAATGCAGTTTATATGAAACTCATGTGTGTGTGTGTGTGTGTGTGTGTATTGTTACGTCCGTGACACTGGGTGTCTTGTCCCCGTCAAGCAACAACTGAATGTATAACTTGCAATTCCCTTGTGTGTAACTGGTAACCGATGTCTCTTGGTTACGAGGAGTGATTGTAAACAACGGTGGGTTGTTACGTTGGAGTCTTGGCCTTGCGAAAACATGTCACGTCGTGTTTTAAAAGAGAATCTCCGAGTTTATAATTAAAAGTTTACGTTCTTTCTTAAACGTGCGTTGTTTCATTCCTTGAGAGTGCGCGAACGTAACAATATATATATATATATATATATATATATATATATATATATATATATATATATATATATATATATATTGTTACGTCCGTGACACTGGGTGTCTCGTCCCCGTCAAGCAACAACTGAATGTGTATAACTTGCAATTCCTTTCTCTTTTGTGTAACTGTTCTCAATTCATTTCTCTTTTGTGTAACTGGTAACCGATGTCTCTTGGTTACGAGGAGTGATTGTAAACAACGGTGGGTTGTCACGTTGGAGCCTTGGCCTTGCGAAGACGTGTCACGTCGTGTTTTAAAAGAGAATCTCCGAGTTTATAATTAAAAGTTTATTTATATATTATATATATATACTGAGAAAAAAATCGGTTAGTTTGAAAAAATCAACGGTCACCAGCTGTCAAAGAAATATTTTGTCCACTGAAAAAACATTTACTCCAAGGTTACATCATGTTAATGTAATTATATCAATATTGACATAATTAGGTCAATACGATGTATTTTTTGAGTGAATATGATTTTTTTCAGTGGACAAAATATTTCTTTGACAGCGGATGATCACCGAATAAATCGATTTTTTCTCAGTGTACAAATGCGATAAAGCTTAAGTATAACATATTAATTACAAGTAGTTTACAATGAAACAAACCTTCATATCATGCTGGTTGCTGGTGTCTAATTCTTCTATCTTATTGATATTATCTTCGTTAGTGAAAATGGAATCTTGTATTTTGTCATTGTTATTGGCTGCCGCATTAGTAATTTCGGCCTCTTCTTTTATGTTGGGCACATTTTGGATATTTTCAGGACCGTTATCATCAATCCTACAATGATATGTTTTAATGATAATACTATCGGACATGATTTTCAGTCATAACCAATGACAACTGATGTCGAAACGTTTTATCCCGTAAAATCAGAAGTCAGAGAGACAGTTGTGAATTACCTTTAATTTTTTATGGAAACGGAGTTAAAAATGC